GGAAAGACCCCATTTGTATTTGATTACTTCTTTTGAGATGTTACTTTACTTTCTTATGTTCATGAAAATAAATCTTTATTTTACTTAATCATTTTGTTGCACATTCTTGAATTCACTTCTATTCATTTTTGTTGTTGTTATCTTTTGTTTTCTTTCATTCCAAAATGAATCAACAAAACCCAATTTTTGATCCTGATTCCTATTAAAAAATGACATAAGTGGAACAAGCCGCCCGCCAACTGAGTCATTGGATCCATTCTTGCATCTCTCTCAAAAAGAAATTCTCACTCTCTATTTTTCTCATTCTTTCTCCTCCTTTCAGCCCTGCCACTCCTCCTGCTTTCAAACTGTATCACTCTTGTCCTCCTTCTATATGTAGCCAAATTATCCTTCTTTCAAAGTTGCTGCTTTCTTCCTGTTTTTTTCTTCCCACCACTCCCAACTGCACAGTCTTTTCCTTTTGCTTATTCGGTTGCTCTTTCCTTTGACCCTGTGGACAGTGTGCTATCCCTGACAGCACATATTCATCTCTGACTACACACACACACACACACACACACACACACACACACACACACACACACACACACACACACACACACACACACACACACACACACACACACACACACACACACACACACACACACACACACACACACACACACACACACACACACACCACACACACACACACACACACACACACACAGTCATACACACACGCAGTCATACACACACAGTCATACCTTGGCACATCTCAGCAGAGTGGTGCAGTGAGGCTGCAGTTCCTCCCTATCCTTACCTTAGCTTGCCAGGGAAGCAACAGAGCCTAAAAACTTGAATTGGCGTATAACCGGAATCTGTGCAAAGCCATACATAATGTACACACACACACACACACACACACACACACACACACACACACACACACACACACACACACACCACACACACTCACACACACACACACACACACACACACACACACACACACACACACACACACACACACACACACACACACACACACACACACACACACACATACAACACACACACGCACTAAACATTGGAATCATTATTGGAAAACAGCCAGCGCATCTTAACTCAAACTAGGAATTGAAATAATGCATTATTATTGCCTGCCTTGACTCTTACAGCAATAAAATATACTGCGACTATTATATGAAATTATATTAACCAATATATGCAGTAAGAGGAAAATTCAACACATTTCACCAGCCATGTTGAATAAAATCACATCACATTTACGTTATTTTCCTGAGTACAAAAACATTGGGTCATTTTCCGTAAACATTTGAATATCCTAATTCTTCTTATTAAAAAAGAGACTATACTGAACCATCAGCTGCATATTTACTTGCAGATATGTCTGCAGAGCAACTGGATACTCAAGGGTTTTTGTTTGCATATTTTGCTTGTTTTTGTTTTTTTATGTACATAAAACTTAATATATTATGGTATTTTTTCAGTCATGTAATACAGAGATTTGAGACTCCTCCTATCGGATGAAGGGGGCCTGAACTGCAAATGACCCCACAGTTAACATGCAGTCTGAAAATAATTAGTGTATAAAAGATCAATTTCCCAACAGTCAATAACACGTGACCTTTTATTCTATCATCTCAACGGTCTGGAAAAATCTCTCTTGGAGGAGATAAATATTATCTAGCTTTACTCATTTGTCTGTTCAATGGGACTAATAATCAATATTTTAATTAATGCAGTGCTCCTCCTTTCTTGTTGTATGTCATGTTTGGGTGGCACCGTGGCACCGTATTTTGTCTCAACAATGCTGAGTCATGCACTTTCAAACAGTCCTTTAACAAAGTCCAATCACATGTCTGCCAGCTGAGTGCACTGTATCCGCGGCATTCGGAGGAAACGCCCGCTGAATACTGAACGGTTAATGAGAGAACCAGCCAACTCAGTGCACATAAACATTGAGCCACTCTAAAAGCTTTTCACATCTGAGCCGTGTATCACATCTTCTGGCAGGGTTTACATTTTGATTTGTGAAGAGCTTTTATATCAGAAATAAGTTTTATAATAAATAATATGCATTGAAGCACATTAAAACCAGAAGCACAATGTATACAATCTATACATCCTATACACACACATTGCAATGCAGTGTGTAGAAGCTGCAGCTCGCCTGAGGCAGGACACAGGTTATGAAACTATAATAACAGGGGGGCAGTTTGTTTACACACCAGGTAATACAAAAATGATCAATAATATTTACAACATATCAGTTGCGTTTTTTACAGTATGCCCTTTTTCCTCTTTAGGCTCACATATTATAAGTACATTATGAATTCCGGGTAAGTGTAATTCTTATCATATGGGGTTGTGACATAACATAGAGTATAATTTGTTATCACTATTATTTTGTTAAATGAGAAAGAAACAAACTGCACATCTTGGATCTCTTGAGAAAGCTAGTCACATTCAATTTCAATCGGGAAATGATCAGTCAATATACTTTGTTTTCAGTATTCAAAAGTAGTTAACAGTCCATCTAACTACAGTATTTCTGCTGAAGCTGAATAGAATAACTATTACCCATTTCATACTCAAGGATGCTTATCAAAACCACTTACTTAAATTCTCTGTCAATCAAGAGTATCTTCTCCAATGTTCAAAGTGTATTTATTGTCAACACACGGATGCACGATGAATGACTTTAAGTTGTATTCCATTTATATTACATGGAAAAACAAGATGGCAAAACTATTTTAATGGGGTAGTGTGGAGAACGAGTTGATGAGTGTCTTGTGATGCCTACTTAGCTGCTTTACTGCCTGTAAAAACCAAACTCATATTTATAGTACAGTGAGATGAAGTGCACTCATTATAAAGTAACGTTTGATTTTATTCCTCAACATATTCTAAGCAGACTGCCTTTATGTCCTGAAGCTGATGTGCAGAGGGGCTTTGATTCTAAACATATTTGTCTTCACAAACAAGTCTTGCAATTGCTGCTTTGAGCATTATGAATCCATTTCATTATATATGAGATGATTTTGGGCTTGTTTAATAATACATGAAGCTTTAGTCACAGAGCTATAAAAGTCAAAATTATGTATTGTTTTTGCTTCATTTAATCAACAACTTCACTGTTTATTTCAAGTACAGTTAACCTTTTTCTTAATGCAAGTCGACAATCTAATCATAAACATCTTTCCCATATGGTATATGAATACGCATTTCCTAACATTACATTGCTGTGTTGATTGCAGCACCAACTATAATGACCTTTCTTCAACAGTGGCATCCAAAGATTAGTCAGCCAAATGTGCCTCAGCCAAAATCAATAAATCCCCTAAACTGTCAACAGCTTTGTAGATCAGAGACGCCTTACCTCCATCGCTTCCTCCTGCTCTAAAGCGCCTGCTGTGTGAGCGGTGTTTCATCTCATGCAACTGCAAAAGACTGTTGTATCCCACCCCGAACAGACCATTAAAATATGTGGTGAAAATATCAGGTTGGTTCTGTGAAAATCCCTAATAATGAAAGGTTAACCTGTCCTGCAGCTGAATGTGAAGATTAGATACTTTCAGGATCTTCAGAAAATCAAAGTGCTGCAGAAAAAACAACCAAGTCAATTATGTCTCAACAATCTTTCAAAATGAGCCAAAGTAGAGTTTCCTCTTGCATTTTGTTTCTGTTTCTTTCTATAGCTTTCTTATATATGGCAATCCCTCTTTTGAACTATGCTAAATACTTTCTTTATCCATATTTCTAAGCATGCCTCTCCAAGCTTTGACATTTGTCTCACTTTCACACACTCTGCAAATCACACTTTTTATGCGACCATTAAACAAGAGGTAATTGCATCTCAGTCCATTTAATCAGTAAAATGGTGTCATTCTATTTATATAGAAAACACATACTTGCTTCCTTACAATCTTTCTTCATTTGAGAGTGGGTTATTAAAGTGATGGTTAAAGAATAGTGCATATTTTCAGCTCTGATTAATGAGTATCTTATTCCTTCCTTGAAATGTCACTATCCACAGTACATGACCATTGATGGTCATGTACATGATATGATATGTGTAATGTGTATTTGTAAAGCGCTTTGAGCATCTGGAAAAGCGCTATAATAAATGTAAGGAATTATTATTATTATTACTCTTCAGTCTCTCTAATTATTTACTTCAATTCTCTCTCACACTTTTTCCTCCCGCTCTCTGAGGGTCTCATCAGCTGTGCTCTCATGCAGACTCTCCAGCAGCAGTAAGTAAAAGACTCAGATTGCAGAAGAAACAAGAGTTAATTGGATTGTTTCTTCTCATCTTCCTCTTTCAGCTAGGATTCAGAATATATGGGGGTTTGTATGTGGTAATATTCATATTATTAGTATTTTGTACATTTGTATTTTGATGCTTTGGCAACTTTGTTTCCTATATTTACAAGCCACTTTGAATGAGATGGAATTGAAAAAGTGTTGGATTTATATATGTAGCATGTTACTGCAATGTGTGAGATTACTAACAGTTTAATCATGAGTGGATGGATGTGGGAAAACGGCCAGTGTTGCAGGATGTGCTTTGCTAAGCATATTTACTTATGTATCATATTTCACCTTAATATATTGCTTATGCTACACATTTTTAGCCATGGTTGTGAACTAATTTGGCTTTATTTTTGTATTATGTGTGTCTTTCTTCTCTATATTGAATAAGTTAGCCTACTCTTTATTATTGCTTGCCTTTTACATGCTGCTATGCTGTAACACTACATGTTACCACTGTTGGACTAATAAAGGAATTCTTATTTCTTATTTCTGATCATTTACATACTTTCTTAATATACATATCAACTATGGTCCACTCTATCTGGTTTTAACTGTGGAAACACATTTTGAAAGCTCATCCTATTATCATAATGCTGACACACATTCCACACATACAATATTATTTTATTTGTATGGCCTACTACTTACTGTACATCATGAAAGTGTAATGGTAATGGTTAATGTTTATGAGTATCCAGTGGAGGGCAGTATGATTCATTTTCAACAGAGCAGCAGCAAAAACAAATAGAAGAAGACTGGTATCATCTGACAGTGGAACATGGCAGATGACAAGGTCGGAGTTTTAAACTTTCTAACTTTTCTTTCATGTCAATATATTATTATTATAAACTGCATTTATCAGTCATTCAGCAGTCATACATTAACGTTAGCTGCTAATGCTAGCTTGTGACGTAGAACAGTTTGTAACTGGTGTTGGTTAGCTTAGCTTAGTTAGCATTTACCCAAATGCTAAGTATTTGGCCTGTTGTGTAAACTAGCTATATGGATATAATTATGCGAACGGCAGATATATCAGATGTGTGTTTTAAACATATTCACAGTGTCGTAAACACATGAAACCTTAATACGTTGTTGTATTAAAAGAAAGAATGAAGCAATGGCTAACTGCTAATGTAAATATATCGCTAAAGTAGCTATATATGTATGTATATATTGTTGCTAAAGTTAGCCTTATTTGCTGTGTAGGTAAATCAATCAACGTTACTTAAATGATAGAATTGTGAATGAGTGAATGATCAGGAAAACCTCATACACTAGAAAACGACATAAATCTAATATAGGCCTACTGGTTTTGATAAGTCATAGATCTGTGCTTAATTCTTTGATAGTAATATCAAGTTGCTTTCAAGTATTGATTGATTGATTGAAAAGTTTATTAACAGCTTGTATATTGGGTACAGTACAGTACAGCTCAAAACATACAATTGTTAAGGGGATGCAGACCAGAGAAAGACTTTCGTCTTGTTTACATCAGGGTCCCCCATTTCCAATTCATCATGTCATATAAGACATATAAGACATATTTGACATACAGATGGCTTATTTACAATTTACATACAGGTGGTTTTTTACATACAGATTGCTTGTTTACAATTTTCATTTTAGATTTCGTTCTAATACATCCTAACCGGACATTTAAGACATACCAAGTCTACAGATATACAGTTAGTAACAGAGTCTAAAATGCGAGTATATACATAGATGGGGGGGGGGGGAAGCTTTCCATTGTACGACAGGTTGAGATTTGTACCATTACCGGGGCCAGTTTTGCACTGCTCTCCCCCGAAGGTGCTCTTTAAGAGAGGTTTTGAAGGTAAGTATAGTTTTACTTTCCTTTACAGTTGTGGGAAGAGCGTTCCACCTTGATGTGGCATAATTGCGAAACGTGTATTCCCCCTTTTTTGTGCCAAATCTGGGTTTCACATGATTTGTGGAGCTCCCTCTGGTGTTATGATCATGGTATTCCTTGACCTTTGGGAAGAATTTTGACATGTACATGGGTACCATAGAGGTATAGTGGATCTTGTAGACCAGGCCCATTGCAAGTAGCTGTACTCTGTCGTCTACTCTAAGCCATCCTAGGTTGTCAAAGTGGGCAGAGGTGAGGTGGGTTCTAGATGAAAGGTCAAGCAGTAGTCTGACCAGTTTATTTTGCGATGTTTGAAGTTTTATTTTTAGCGCCTTGGAGGTGCTATGGTACCATGACGTGCAAGCATAGTCATAGTACCCTTGAATGAGTGCTCCTGCCAGAGTTTCCAGGGTGTTTTTGTTTACCAGAGAGGAGATCCGGTATAGGAATCTAGTTCTTTGATTGACTTTTTTTATTACATTGGATGCCATTTTGTCACAGGAGAGGTTTGCCTCAAGAATAGATCCTAGGTATGTAATTTCCTTCTTACTTGTGACAATAATGTTGCCCACTGCAACTGAGAAGTCGTCGGATTTGCTGAGATTATGTTTCGAACCGAAGAGAAGAGAATGGACTCTGTTTTACCCAGGTGTAATGATAATGTATTATCGGCGAGCCAGGTGCAGATTCTGCCGAGCTCGGAGCTGAGGGTTACTATGTTGTGTTTTGTATGTGTTTGAGCCTTGTCCTTGTTTTGCTGTTTTTCCTGTTATGTCTTTGAAAATATACAATCAAATCTAAATGTCTATGTTTTAGGATCCACTTGTCAACAAAATGTAACCTTTTTGTTTGTGTCTGTGTGTGCAGGGTCCTCTGGGCCAGCTCAAGGACCTGGTGGAGCTGAAGGACCAGCTGGAAGACATTCAGAGACGGATGGAGGATGAGATACAGGCTGGCGTCCCTCCGGTAAGGCTCACACAGACATTTACATGCCTTACATTTTGCTCACAGGTCAGGCAGTTATAAACAACATAAACGGTATCTAGAATTAGAGATTAAACCACAGGTCTGACTACCTAGTACCAGGTCTAATCTCTCTTCTCTTTCTCCCCTAGGGAGGCAGTCTGCTGGCCTCTCCTTTCCTGAAGGGTTTTCTGGCCGGGTACGTTGTTGCAAGGCTACGCTCTTCACCGTTGTTTGGTGTTGCCGTTGGGACGTGCACAGGAATATTTGCAGCACAAAATTATGCCGTTCCCAACATTGAAACCACCGTCAGAGACTACATAAGCAAACTAAAAGGAGGAAGCAAATAATAAGAGAGGAATACAATTAAGAAGAGCAGGAGAAGAGACATCTACAAGCAGAGGGTGCTCTTTGAGCCACATACGGGAACAGACATATATTTCAAAAGTTACGAATTCTTCAATAGTTATTTTTTTCCACCTTCCACAAGGATGATTGAATAGTACAATGTTATAGTAGTAAGCCAACTTATAGAGTAAGGTGATTATTTTAATAATTCTTCTGATTCAGTTGATCTGAACTCTTGTTAAGGTACTTGAGTATGGAGAATAGATGACTGACATACATTCTGTAATAGAGCATATAAGAAGCGTGTGAAAAGGGATTCAGTTAATTTAAGCAGGAGACCCCATTTTTCCCTCTAATATAGTCCATAATTAAAATGTAAATATAAGGGAATCATATCAACTGCTATAGCTGAATTCGGTCCTCCACCCTTTCTCCACCCCATTTGCTATCTGAAGTTTTATTGATGCATAATGAGATATTTAGATTGTTGACTCTCCACAAGAGGTATTTGATGTCCTCTTTCGCCCTCTAGTGGGCAGATATCTTTTATATCAGTCAATACTAATTTGCATATCTTTACTCAGGCATGATAGAGCATTTAAAAGGGCTGCTCTTTAGTGTTAACTTGTCAACACCTTTTTGTTTTTCCATGGACATAACACCTCTCCATATTGTTCTAGTTCAAAATATTTTAAACAATAGTCCTAATCTTTTGGAGAGGTTTATGAACAAAATACTTTGGACTCCAAAAATGGCACGCTCCGTTATAAAATAACTTTTTCTTTCTCTATATATTTTCCACCTTGCACTGCGTAAAAATGTCAGATTTCTTCCTGTACTTACAATATTTAGATACAAATGTATGCCAAAGTTAAATTGGTTTTTAAAGATGTAGTTGTTATTGCACTTGAGGGTTTTAACAAAGCAGGAAATGTTTGCTAAAGTATTTTATGTAACATATATATTAAGAGTGCCTACTTTGGTCTGGACTTGATATTTTCATCTCATGCCATGTGTGCAATAGCCTTTCTTGATAGAGTTTGGCAGACTATTCATATGCTGGAAACTAGTTGATCTTTTGCACTTAATTAAACAATTGGGAATGTTGTTACATTGTGTTTCATACAAAAACAATGATTTCGTTTTTTGTCCAAGAAAAATCGAAACCTGTCAAAGTTATAATGACATGTTTACTCAAATGTGGTGTTTGCTTGTGGTTTAGATACATTTGAAAGTTGTTTTAAGAAAGTGGGAACTATTATGTGGATCCATGTCAATATCACATCCATAAACACAGCAGTTGTTGCTAGTCAATAGTCTAGAGACCTAAAGCACAGAAGAACACCTTAACAGTAACTGGAATCTTAATTGTGTTATTTCACTTGGGTGATTATCCTGCAAATGCAAAAGGTTTTGTTCATTCATCATTAAACCAACCAATAAGAGATGTTTTTGTTCACATGACCCCAGGTACTGTTTGCTGCTGTTTAAGTGTACACACATTGCTTATGTAAACAACAACCAAATAAGTCAGGCTAGTAATACACAAACAAGCCATTTGTAAGTATTAGAAAACTAAGTTGACTGTATTCATAACTGGAACACAGAAACAAAATGTGCCTATTGACAATCATTATGTAGCTTTCATTGTATTTCATTTCATTATTTCATTGTTACTTCATTTCTTGTATGTTACCTTTTTGCATGTTTTCTCTCGCCAACATTTGATATGTTTTGGAAAATACAATATAACACTTCAACTGATGGTGCTTTATTTCACTGACTAACCTCAGTGTCTTGTCTATTTGTCATGGGTTTTCACTCTGTTTGAAATTCCTTTGTTATATTATAAAAGAAAACAACAGAATTGATCTTTAAGAGTTTTATTTCGTTTGTCCAAATAAATGGGGAGAATACAGTTTACAATCGTCTCATACGTTGAGTATTCCTGGTTTCTAATAGCCCTAAAGAGTCAATATTTTTAATAACATTTTAATTAATTTGGCCAAACGTACAAGATCAAAGTGACAAGGATTGAAATCTAAAAATGTCTTTACAAACTTTTAAACCAAAATGGAACAAAATCTGAATAAAACAACATTTATATCTTATAAAATACAACATGCTTATTCAAATCCTTAACCTATATAAGTCATTTAAAAAAACATAATGTGCAATCAATAGCAAAAGTCAATATAATAGTAGCAAAAAAACTGGTTAGATCAGGGGTGTCAAACTAAATTTCATCGTGGGCCTCATCAGCATGATTGCACTCAAAGGGCCGGTTGTAACTTTAAGACTATATAAAAATACATATGTAATATAAATAAAATAATGTATTATATTACATGATTGCCTCTGCATTGGTTTATTATCGGATAGGCTAATAACTTCATAATTAACTGCGCCTGAAAGCAGAAGTCTAGGGCAAATAATTGCAAGTCTCTTCAGTGAGTGTCACAAAATTATTTAAAAAGAAACGCCACATTCTGGAAAAACAAAAAAAAGAAGTGACATTTTGAAAAAAAAATTACATTTAAAAAAAAACTAACATTTTGAAGAAAAGAAAATATAATTCTGAGAAAAAGTCAAATTCTAGGATAAAAGTCAAATTTGAGATGCATTGTGGGACACGTAGTTTATGGGCAACGTGCTTCTGTAAATCCCCATGTAACCGTATAATAAACATATTATATTCTTTGCAAGGTCTTGAGTTTGACACCCCTGGATTAGATGATAGCAAGCAGATACATGGTAATTATTTTTTAAGCAGTACATAAAACACAATTAGCTTATCAAGTACTACAGCTATGATGGTGATTAAAAGTGGAAAGAGATGTCAAATTGTCTTGATTTGGAGTTGAACTGTCGCTCATCTCGGGAGGAGATTTCATCAGCTTCAGTTACCCAGGAAAGAGAAACATAATTATTTAAAGGAACATGACTTGGTATTATTGGTAAATCTTAAATTGAACTGTATGTAAACCCTTATCTAAAAGTATTTAAATATTCAAGGTCTGAAAAAACAGTTCTTGATTGGACTGAATTAAACAGCATTGAAACTTTTGCAAAGATAGGTATACTGATTAATCACATTCTAAATACAGTACTGTTCACAGATATAACGTATATTAATGCAGAATGTGGGGCACTGTATGTGAACTCACCTCAGGATCAGGCAGCTACATCAGGCATACGCATCATTCTGCCCCTGCTGCCTGCTACGAGAGAAAACGTATAGTCATTTACTTTGTAGCTTAAGTCAGTATACAGAGATAATACTTTTTTAAGTATTACAAATATTTAGATATTTTAAATCTACATCCAGATCTGGATCACAATAAAAAACATAGATATTGTTTTTTCCTATATAATGAAGTGCAATATTTCATTTGAAATGATAATTATAAGGATTTAACTGATAAGCTTTTGAGATGAACCTACTAACTATAAACAAATAAGCAGGGCTGATATGATTTATAATAACATTAAAACACAACAGCAATTTTAAATCTACAATATGCAATATGGAGAAAACGTGTTTGTTGGGTGCTAGTGATTAGTTTTGCCAGAGTGGAATTTATCTTATTTTCCATGAATACAAGCTCTCATATTGGTGTAAAATTACTCACAAATAGGTTATTTATTCAAACTACTTCATAAATGAGCAAAAAACGAGAATACAAAAATAAAACTGTCTCAAAACTTCACATAAATGATTCCTTAGGTAAGTCAAGTGACCAAAAAAACCCTCTACTCTCAATCTGACTTCAAGAGCAGTTATCTTGTCTCACCAGTGAAGACCGGTGCACCGCAGCTAGCTGGTCCTTTGGTCAGAGATCCAGAGATCTCTTGGCCAGTAGCCGTGTCCACACACCAACAGCTCTCCAGAAGGCACTGCTGCGCACGGTAGAGGCCGCGCTCGTCACAATCCGGTTGGAAACCTGGAATCTCAACAGGTTTCACACCTGCCGCCTCCAAGTGGCACTGAGTGGCCTCACGAGGGACTGGGAGAGGATGGAGAGGAGGTAATGTAACTATAAGCACATGTAATCATTGTCTTCTAATGTGGAGATAAATACACCGACTGTATCCCTATTTACTATATGATACACTATTTATACAAAGTGAATACAAACAGAACATACCTTTCTTTTCTTGGACTTCGGTGGAGTCCTGCAATAAAATCAGGGAAGGATATTGAGAAACAATACAAAAACATAAGAGTCACTGTCATTTTTAAATCAAACCATATGTTTAATAAAATATACTTGCATGTTCAGGCCCACTGATGAAATTGTTAAGGTTTATTGTATGGAATTAGCCAATAAAATGTGGCATATTTGTCTAGATATTGTCATAAATGGGGCGAAGCCTGCGAGCTAGTTCAGGCAGTCAACTCGAGCACTTATGCTGCATTCATACATAACGCCCCCTTGCCACTCTACAACCAACCAAACAGAGTGTCCTTAATATGCCGCTCTATTTAACCTGCCAGATCTCTCTCCATGCATTGCTTGCTGCTGCTATTGCTGCAGCTACTTCCACGTCGCTGCTGCTTGCCTGCTGCCACTGCTGTGTTCACTTGCTATTGCTGCGTTCATGTTCCTGCTGCTGTGTTTCATGTTGCTGCTGCTTGCCTGCCCCACCACCACCCCAGCTTCCACCTGTAGGTTCGGGGGTTAGTTATTTAATCATCACTTATCGTGCTATGTATATCTATGGAGTGATGATGCCCGAGCCTAGTCGCCAAACTCAACTATATGCTGCTTCTAATAAACATGTTAAAGGAACACGTGAGTTGTCTGACTGAATTGTCATCGTGTAAGATGCCTAACAAAACAGTGCTATAGAAGAACGCCACAGATTCATCTGATTGCACTGAGAAGTCTATTTTCAGTGTCCTGCTTGACAAAACAAATCGAAAGGCTCCATATCAGAAGTGTTTGGTAATGTTTATGTAAAAACAAAAACTGTAGCATTGATTATATCAGTCGCCAACCTCATGAAATGGCTTATTTTTTTCATTTTGTTTACCTCCTCAGTGGTCAGATCCAACAGTTTGGGAAAGGCGTTCATGTGCATCCGCACAGACCCAGCAACTGCAGACAGAAAGAGAAACAGTGCATGTTACATTTAAGACATAATAAATGTAATAATACATTCTGCTGAGTAACGTTTCTTTAGATTTTCCTCACCAGATCTTCCATTACTCAGTTTTGAGTTCAGGTTTTCATTCTGCACCTTCAGAGACTTGATGTCACCCTGCTGACTGAAGAGGAAGTAGGCGATCGTCGCCTGGCCCACAATCAGGACGCAGGCCAACAGGGTCAACCCGGCCACCTTATAGGCTCGGGAGGGGCGGACACTGGAATGCACGAAGGAAAATATGAGGGAAGTGGAGAGGGAATACATTTTTTATTTGGTTAGAAAAAATGACATGTAGTCAAAGTTTCTAACATTTCCCTGATAATGACTTTAAGATTAAATAAAAGAAAAAGGGGAAATACTGATGTGTTATATGTTACTGACAAAGAGATCAGACTAAATCCCTTGGTGGAAGAGAGACAGTTAGAAGAGATAGGAAAAGTGACGACGTGAATGAGAATGCTGAGAACCTGAAACAGGAACCTCTGCCATACCTTAAACATGGCATCAGCTGTTGCCAAGCAGACAGTTGAGTGCATGTTTCTGTATCTGCCGTTTCTCTTTTTTTAAGCTCACACCAATGCCTTTTTTGGAAATTCCCATTACTTTAAATGTCATGTTTTCTTTGAGTCTGCTTTAAAATCTAACTGATAGGCTATGTGTATTTAAAAAAAAAAAATGTAACCTTTATCTAACCAGATAAAAGCATTGAGATAAAATCTCATTTTCAATGCTGACCTGGCCAAGAAGGCAGCAACGTTACACATAACACATAACACACACATATAAAATACAGAGAACATAATAAAGAAAACAAAAGATGAAAAAGCAGTCACTACATTGTGCACATTAGGACAGTAAGAAAGGAGGTATTGTTTGGTAATGTTTTTGTAAACGCTAACATATTAGACAAGTCTGTCTACTCTACATGATCAATGCGATGTATTACACTAATTAACCAACTTTCAAGAGCCTGCTAATTAAGTTAAATTAGGACAAAAATAAATCAATAACTGATTGGAGGATAGAAAATATACATTACAATTTGAAGGAGAGCGCTGTTATTTACACATCTGTAAATAAAAGAATACATTTTTTGTAGTAAATGGGTCAAAACAAAACACCACTCACTGTTGTGGTTTGGTCCAAACAGTTTAAACTTTAGTTCAATTAAGCTTCTGACATTGTGAAAGGTAATATTACTTACTATCATTTTTCTTAGTCACTCAATAGTTGTTCTATCTTTGTGAGTATATAACACAACACCTATGGTATGGAAGTATCGAGAAAAGAATAACAATAAATAGTTTACTTTGTGGGGACCAGCTTTTTGGTCCCTTGGTAGTGTTTGGACCCCATAAAGATAGAAAAACAGGTACATATGCTTACCCCTGTCCATTGATCTCGGCCTGCTGGGTGGGGGCTGGCAGAAGAGGCTGGCTTTGGATCTCAGAGTTCGGCATCCTCACACACAAACCTGTAAACACACACAAACATATCCCCACATTTTTTAACACAAAGAATAGGATGTTGAATACTTAAAAAAAACACTTACAGTAAGCACACGCACATACATTATACCTTAAGTAAGGTCAAGTTCCAAGCTGTTTCACTAATATCAATGACATAAATCAAAGAGTTCTTACCTTTAATACTGCGTACAGAAAAAATGAACTGAAGGTAACAAGCGGGGGAAACCAATACTGACAACCTGAATAACCAAGAAGTCTGACTGGATTTTATTCAAACTGAATTTCTGATTGGTTCCTCGTGGTGACGCATCATCTGTTACCAGGGGTAGAGTATAAAGATATCTGACACTATTGAAACAGCCGGTTTAGATGTTTACAATGCTTTCATGTATCTTGATATGGTTTAAATGTGTATTTAACTAAACCATTGTTATAATTGGATAATAATAGCACAGTAACGATTATGAAGCAGATTATCTCTGTGAGATAAAGGAATACAGGATTCCTGTAGCCTACCATTGGTTATGCATTATGTATTAGTTAATACATTACTATATCAGTGTTAGGCCTATAAGTGTTTGTGTCCTCATATTATTATGCTATTATGAGGTGTAGAAATATTTTTCTCAATTTAAAATGAATAATACATTAATAATAGTGTATCTTCTTGTTTTTCGTTTTGTTCTTGTTTTTCTTTTGAGCTACAGCATTGTGGCCCTTAATAACATTATTTTTCTGGGCTCAAAATGTGTCTTGGCTGTTTTCGTTCACATAATCTGAAATAACAACTCATATTTCTCGCATCAAATGACATCAAAACACATTTTAATGGCGAAACTAACTTTAAAATAGGCATTTTCCACCGAGAATAAAACGAAGTTCGGCCATGTTTTTTTTTTCTGCAGGGAGAAATTTGAAGATCACGTGACATAGACGCCAGCCATTGGAATGAATGGTGAAAAAAAACGGGGTTTGTCAAATAGAGCACATGGTGTAGTAGTCCTAACCGATAGCTGGGGATTCTAGTGTCTTCTGCCATCCTTTGCTCCGAAAAAATATTTGTTTCTCTGAATCGAAGGGGAAAAATACAAAAGCATTGCACACAATTTAAACCAATCAATGTTGTGTAATTAACAAGGATAATCTGGTGTTTTTTAGTCGATGAGTAGTGCAGATATCACTGTAAAATCAATCGACAGTAAGGGGAATACTTACTTCCGGGTGTACAATTATCCGTTATCCAATGAGAATGGACGCTCACATTGCCTTTAGGGGCAGCCGACACAAACGAACGCCGTGCTTCCATGAGCGTCAAATCCCGCCGCAGATGGGAATACATTGCAATCAGTTGAAAGCTATTTGCGTCCCTTTATGAAGCTGAAGGAGCCTAGGAGCGTCACAACTGCACGCCACGGGACCCTGACCAAACGTCGCTCCTGGACGATTATGAGAGTGTGTTGTAGGGGGCGGTTTGGGAATGGGCCTTAGTAAGGTACAAAGCAAAAAGGCCTCTCAGACGCTCTTCCGCTTACTTGTGTAATAAAGAAAAACAAATGAACGGTAGATACACGGATTCCCTGACTTGGTTAATATATTAACACTGATATAAAGCAGACACCAAACACGTCCAAAATGACCAACTAATAAAAAGAACTTGACTTCAAATTTCAGTTGGAAATACTTAGATTTAGAATAGAATAGAATATATCTTTATTGTCATCATACAAAGTACAACGACATTTCTTTGGCAACTCTTAGTGCAGTAAAAAATAGACACATAAATAAATAAGAGTGTTAAAAGCAGACTGTAGCGATGACAGTTCAACGAGATACAATTAAATGTATGTGCATATTTACACTTATAGGCTTACAGTCTAAACACGTTAAATGTACAAAAACGGAATAAATGTAGGCTAGTGTATTTCTAACTGTGTGTTCATACAGGGTTATAATTTATAGTAACTGTTACGTTTCCTAATCTAGGGGTACGAAGGGAAGTAACGAAGGACAGAAACGACCAGGCACGAGAAAAAAAGAGCGGAAACTGATCTTCTGAAGCCACAAAGGGAGGTTTAATTACCAATGATGGACAAGTAACGGGCTCACCAGCCAACTTGCAAAGCAAATTAAGATACAAATAAAATCAGGTCCCACACAGAGACATAGACACCATGCAGCCAGAGGCGAAGGGGAGAGCGACTGCAGCTTTTCTCAGGTCCTTTATGGAGGCCTTGATTGGTGATTGGGAGCACCTGGAGGAGAAGCTGCACCTGGAGGGAGAGGCTGCACCTGGAGACAATATAGAGGGAGAGAGAGAAAGACACACAAAAACACCGGCACCACGGCACGTAACAGTAACCAAAGGATACAAGTAAAATAGCCATATATATCTCTAAATAGTAGTGGTTGCAGTCTTTGAGGGGCGGAGGTGTGTTTATGAATGTTCACAGTTGTTTTAATGTACTCTGTGGTTGGACATAGATGGGAGTGATGGAGGCCACAGCTCTGGGATAGAAGCTGTTCCTCAGTCTGTTGGTGTGTGATTGATTGTATTGTCCTGAACCGTTTGCCAGATGGAAGTGAGTCAAACAGTGAGTGTCCGGGGTGTGTGGTGTCTCTGATAATGCTGCTTTTGATTTACATTACATTAAATTAGAAGAGATTACATTACATGTTACTTGTTAGCAGGGCCGGACTGGGACAATAAGTCAGGCCGGGAATTATACACCCAGCCAGGCCACTACCAGTTTTCTTTTGTGACATTTTTCTGGATTTATTTGTCAATATTTACAGCGTTGCTGCACGTAGTGATAGCCCTAAACTTTAAATCTACTACTCCAGAATAAACATATGGACATGGGTCACTATTTAAAAAAAAATTGCAAATCTATTTAGGAACCTATCTATGTGAACATATTTTAAGTGGAGGTGGACCTCAAATCCTCTAGGGGGGTCCAGGGTCATGCTCCCCCGGTAAGATTTTTTTTTTTTTTTAAATGTTGGACTTAAATGCATCAATCTGGTGCACTTTGAGGGGGGGAAAAAGAGACTACACCCATATGAAACAGAACTGTATACATTTAAATAATCATACAATCATAAAAACATGGCCATAACCAATAACATACCATATCCAATATGAAAAACATTGAAACTTGTTTATTTATTTGTTTTTGGTTCATTTATAGTTGTGAGCTTGTCTGTGCTCCTGAACCAGCCTCTCCTGGCTGTCTCCCTCCTCTCCCCCTGCTCCTCTTTGAGGCAGCAACAAAGACTAATTTGAGCTCTCAACACGTTTTTAAGGTTTATCTTACCTTTTTTTACCTAGTTTTATTATTCATGCATATTTTACTAATCACTCCCCCTTCAAATGGAAATATGTGTTTACATAAATTGTGACCAAACCGTTTGAGACCCACAGAGAACTTAGACTAAGTTAACTATCTAAACCAGGGGTCCCCAAACTTTTTCCTGTGAGGGCCACATAACTTTTCCCTTCTCTGATGGGGGCCGGGTCAGTTTGTAACAGAAAAAGTGTGACGATCGCATGGGTGTCTAAACGTAAACATTTATTGTTTTCTAGAAAGCCACACATAACCAAATATTAATAACCCTTTCCGGGATCTTCACAGAAAAAAAGTCAGGAAATAAATAATAACACTATTAATGAAATAAATAACACTATTTATGAAATAAATAATAACCAAATAACCCTCTCTGGGTCAGTGGCGTTTTCTCCCGGAGGCCAAGGGAAGCCAGGCTTCCCCTGTTTTTTCGGATTGTAGTTCTAATTTAAATAAATAAATAAAAACACTTTGTTTTGTTTCGATAATTCTCCTTTGCTGTGTGTTGCTGCCGGCCGTCTCTCCCCCATTCTCATTGAGTACTTTACAAAGAGTGAAACAGCGCCCCTCTAGATGTTATGGTGAAACAGTAGATTGCACTCTCTGTTGCGAGAGGAGGCCAGCCGAATCTGGCTTCCCTTGGTGAAAAAAAATGGAGGGATTGACCGATCAGATGAGGCCCACGTGATGCCCCTGCCAACCTGTGATTGGTCAGGGCCATGCCAAGGGAAGCCAGCCGCCTCTTGCTTCCCTTCAGAGGCGGCTGGCGATTTGATTGGACACTGCCATCCAATCAAATCACATCAACATCAGTTTTAATACTGTAACTGTCATCACCGCCGTTAGAAATTATCAAGCAAATGAAGCATTATGGAGGGAGGAGATTTGGCGTACTTAATCAAACATAACTTTACTAAACTTCCGCTACAGCAGCAACTAAAAATTAAATCAGATGACAGGCCAATGCCCGCACTCAAGCTGTGTGTACACAGAGGAAAAAGGGAGAGAATCGGACGTTCAATGAGGATAATTATGTCCGCACGGAGTGGCTAACTGGAAGCGCTAAACTTCAGCGTCTATTTTGCTGGCCATGTCTTCTTTTTGACAAGGATTCGTGCTCCCTGAACAATCCTTGGGCAACTTCAGGATTCATCGACCTTGCCAACCTGTCACGGGCAATTGAGAGGCACGGTAAATCCAAAAATCACATAGATTGTGTGATTGTCTGCATACATTAATAAGTACAATGCTTAAATTAATAAGGAGAGAGTTTCAGCTGGAGAGTGAGTGCGGACCTGTCGGTTAGATAACAGGCGTGCACAATCTTAACAGGTAAAAGTTTAGCTTAGTTGTCAGAGCAGAATCTCTCAAAAATAAACGTGGATTTACGTAAAAAAAACTATTTTTTCGGGGTTCGGGTGTTTTGTTTGATTTTAAACAAACAAAGTCTTGGCTTTCAGAATATGAAACTTTTATTTCCAATTTATTTATTTCTCACTCGCAATCTGCTCTTCCGCAGCGCCGCCCCCCCCCCCCCCCCCCCTCACTCCGCTGAAATTATGAATGTAAGAGTATAGTAATCATAGATAACACGGCAGGGTCCGTTACAGTTTGTTTTCATCTGATTTCAATTAAACAAAGTCTTGGCTTTCAGAATATTAAACTTGTTTCGGCAAATTCAGATGATAAATACAACTTTGAAGCTTCGGCATAATTACAAGCGGAGAATGGCAGGCATAACAACAGCCAGTGTTTCTCGTGAGTGTTTTCCCCGGGAAACAAACACAATACACACAAACGCAAAATTACACAAGCACACACACTGACACACACTCGCGAGCTTCCCCTCCAAACGAAAATATCTTCCCTCGGTAGTATTTTGATCATTTGCTCCGCTAATAATCAATCAGATCGATGGATTCCAGAGAAGAGACAACTTTGAAGGCCTTTTTCTCAAAATGATGACTCGGTGACAGTCATTATATAATGTGACATATTTCGCTTAATATTTGAAGTACAAAAACAATCCTGATATCATTAGAAAGCTAGGAATATCCTCTTTCCAACAGTGTATACAACTCAAAAGGTGTCTTCGGGTCAATGCGACTGATTTCGATAGAGCAGGTCACAACATTTTGACAGGGGCTAGTCTAGGATTCGCGTGTCCAGACTGAATTTTTTTTTTTAAATAAAAAAAAAATAAAAAAAAAATCATAATGCGTCTCTGGTATTGTTCAGGGGGCCGGGCCAAATGTGGAGGCGGGCCGTACCCCGGCCCGCGGGCCTTAGTTTGGCGACCACTGATCTAAACACTCTAAAGTCCTTTACCTCACCTGAGCTGTAGTTATCAGTCTCTCAGTCTGACTGGAGAGGACTCTCCTCCACCTTGTTGACAGCTCATTATATATCCGTTAGCGCAGCTAGCTAGCACCAGATGCTAACAACAACAATACACGTAACCGGTGCGCGCGCTTTCTCTCTCGCGCCCGCCACACATACACACCCTCCCGAGCTTGAATGACACACAGAGACCAATCGAGGACATTAGTGTATGATCTGTATGAAAGTGGCCATGTCGGCAGGCCACATCATGTAGACAGCCAGTCACCCTCTGTGAGGCAGAGTCAGACCCACATTTGCGCAGCGTTGCGTTCACAATACATACATACCAAAAAAAAATCCTCCGGCCAGCAGGCCACTTAACAGGCCAGGCCATCGGGAAACCTCCCGGTCCTCCCGATGGCCAGTCCGGGCCTGCTTGTTAGACGCTTTTATCCCAAGCGACTTACATACTCAAATACTGTGGGCAATCCCCACAGGAGCAATTTGGGGTGAAGTGTCTTGCCCAGGGACACAACGACATGCTGACTGCACTGTGACCCCTTGATCCGAACACCAACGCTCTATCCACTGCGCCACACGCCTCCGTTTAACCACTAAGTGTATATTTTTGTCCAATCTAAAATAACAGACGTAACCACACACACATTGGGCAATGGATGCAAACATTTGTTTATCTTTTGGGATGGTCTGAAATCAAATCCACTGCAGTACCCTCCAATCCACTGGGGGCGGTAGAGGGGTGTGTAGGGACGGTGTTTGTCCTTTAATACTTTTGGATCTCGCAGGATGACAAAGTTGACACGCTTTGACGGAATACACACACATATCTTAAGCATTTAAAAAGGTATGAAAGTAAAACGTGTCTCTTACTTATTATTTACTGTGGGGAGATATTGTCATACATGTACATGCCACATTGTGTCATTTATCCAGCGAACCGTGTTAATGCGGAGCGCCAAATTTGAAATGAGAGCTCAGCTAACCATGTTTGTTATAGCTAGCAAACTTCTACAAGTTAATGTCAGCTTGAATACATTTAATGTCGCTGCTAAAGTAAGCACAGATATATGTATACTCTCTGTTTGTCATTGCTGGGTGTCGACATATAGCTAGCTTGACTTTACCTCGGATAACTTAGCGTTTTTCCAACTGACTGACCACAATTTAAGGTTATTTTCTATGTTATTTTCTATTTAACGCTGACGTTAGAATTGAACGGTTCAAGATTCAAAGGCTTGCCATAAGCACAGTAGCTCCAGTGTTGTAATGGCAATGAAAGTCCCAGTCTCCTCCAACAATGCTACATAAATATATATAATAAGTAAAATACATTAAAAAAAATAACACAATTGGTGCTAGAAATAACACAATATAAATACAATAATGCAAGAAAATATTGCAAGACTAATGTACAAGTAGTGCAGGAGAAATGGGTTTTATACATGTAAAACATAAAATTGAGCTAAACTTAGAATGCTGAATTAAATACTGTTCAGTGGAATAAATTCTGCTTATTGTAATAATAAATACATTTTTGAGATGGTTCAGCTTTGATGTAACGCTAACTTATTAAAACCATTTTTCAACAGATGATGCGAAGACCTCGGACAACAACTGCCAAAGTTGTTGAGAACAGCACGGACTCCGACTTGTAAGTCATTTTTCAATCATTCATTTATTTTTCAATAATTTCACAATGTGATTCTGCAAAAACGGCATATTGATGTTCATTGTCACAGGTTTCCGTTGGGGTTTACCTTTGCTGTGTTTTTTTTTTTTAGATGATGATGTTAACTGATAGTCATACCAGCATTGTAAAGAAAAATAGTAAAAAATGTAATCCATTGTATTTATAACATTGGAGATGAGCAGGTAAACCCTGGGAAAATATTTAATGATTTTCCACTTGTTCCACATTTCTCTTTTTGTACTTCAGGTCCATCATACTGATAAGTGATGAGGATAGTGATGAATGGACACCAGCAGAGCCAAAACTTAAAGCTCCCACTACTACGGCGGGAGCTCCTGCAGTACCCGGGGAGAAGAAAGCAGCTCCCAAGAGAACTGCTAAACCAAAGGAGCCAAAAGCACCCAAACAACCGAAACCTCCTAAAGAGCCTAAAGTTCCTAAGCCAAGAGCACCACGTAAAACTGCAGCAGAGCAAAAAACACAGGCCTCGAAAGTTGTGAAGGTTTCCAGGACATCTGTGTTGGCTGGAACAAAAAGGAAAAATATTGATGAAGGCAAAAATGATGACAAGGCTGCAGAAAAGAAAGAAGAAAAACACACAGACTGTGGGCCAAGTACCAAAATGAAGAAAGAGGTAAGATACCCATTATAGAATTATTATGAGGTTTTATTCTCTTTGCAACACCTACATACTGCAAAGCTCTCTTTCATGACTTGTGCTACTTGTTTCTTGCAGAGGGTATCATTCATCGTGTCAGAAGCGAATCAAGCAGACATGTGGGCAGGCGAGGGGTCATCACTCGCTGGACTTATAGCAAAGAAAGAGGAAGTGGAGGACTTCACGTTTGATGAGCCTTGTCTAAAGAAACAGAAGACCGGTGGTGCCTTCCTGGGACAACCAAGTGCTTTACCATCGTCCACAGCAAACGCTCTGAGGAATGAACTCAATATGAACTGGGACTTCATAGAGGTAATGTAGGGTTTGTCTTTGTATTTTTATTTGTTTGAAAGTGTTTTATATTTTGGTCAGATGGTAGAAGCAGTGACTGGCTAACAAAACACCAGTGCTCATCCATATTTCTACCAATGTTCGCAAAACTTAACAAACTCAGTTAAAAATACACACTAATTAACAGGGTTCTTACGACGGTCATTAAAAACCTGGAAAAGTCATGGAAATTCAAAATGCTAATTCCAGGCCCTGGAAAAGTTATGGAAAACAATATTTTTACCAAAGTTTTGGAAAAGTCATGGAAATGTAACTAAAGTTGCATCAAATATCATTTATATTTTATCTAATCGCCGAAATAGTAATGGTCCAGCACCAGAGGCATTCCCATACACACAGGCGTTGGAGCTGTTCTTCATGAAATCCCAGAAGGATGAAGTGCTCTGACAAACAGTGCCATCTTTGCGCAAAATGATTATACCGGAATGAAAAGTCAATAAATAATGTTGTTAAAACTTTTTTTTTTTTTTCGCGCAACCCCCCCCCCCCCCCTTGCCACCACCCGCCCAAGTATATTTCATATCTGTGGGAAACACTGAATACTATAATGATACTGTATTGTATAGTAATGAAATGGCATTTAACTGTCGATGTATTTTGCTGGTGAGAGATTTTAGTTGCTTTAGCGTGTAGAAGCTAGTAAGCCTACTATTTGATTTATTTTAGATAGGACCAACATGTTTCATATGCAGACCTTATTTTCCTGTTCCATGTTCAAATAAACCATTTTCAGTGGTACCGCTGAGAAAGAGTAATTTTTTTGGTCATGGAAAATTAGGTAACGGTCATGGAGAAGTCATGGAAAAGTCATTGAAAATCATTGGTGAAAAAGTGTATGAACCCTGAATCAATCAATCAATCAACAACTGTATTAATCCCGCAAGGGGCAATTGGTTATGAGCAGCTTATGTCATGAACACAGGCAGGAACATACAGGAAGAAAACACACAGATACACCCGGGAGCACAGATGTGGATCATTCCAATTTACACGATAAATAGTTCATAGCATCACAATAATAAATAAATAAATAATCAAGTTAAAAGCCTTTCAAGAATTAAAAAGTTTGAGTGCAGAAGGGATGAATGATTTTGCAAAGTGATTAGTCTTAAGAGCAGCTAGAGTTGCCCTGATGGCAACAGACAAAATTCATCTGCAAGAACATGACCTGGAGAGGCCAGAATGCTTTCTGCTTTCCGCAGAATCTGTACAAAAGACACTGTTACCAACAGGACAGTTAGCCACATATCAACAATGTTGTTAAGCTGTTGATGGAGTCTTAACACTGGCCTGTGTACACACAAGAATGGGAAACGATGATAAATATCAGCAGCGACCAATTTGCCTAAAATGGGCCCTAAGCAGCTGAGTTATTCACCCGTTGTAAGTGTATGTTTATTGGTAGTTCGTTGAAGCTCAACAACATCACAACACGGTAAAATGACCTTCCTCCAACATTATGCATATATAAACAATGGACAGTTTATTTGGACTATTATTAAATAGATTCTATTTGCAAACTTCTTTGAATATATAGGAACTCTTTGAATATCCGCATGTGTCCTTTCCCCCAGGTGCTGTCCACCCTGACATGTGTGGAGCGGTGGGTGTGTGTAAATATCATCAGGTTGCTTCGTGAGGAGAACACGGTGCCGTTCATGGTCCGCTACCGCAAAGATATGATCAATCACATGGATGCTGACGCTGTCCGAGACGTCCAGCTGGTATATGAAGAGTTAGGGTAAGCAGATAAAACGTCTTGAACTAAGCAATAAAAACAAGGAAATGAATGCACCTCATTATCTGACAAACACTCATTATTGGTATGTAGAAGCAATTTAAGTACAGAGTTTCATACAGCTGTTACCATGAGATGTCTTCTCATATGAGCTGAGGATTTAATTCATTTCCGGACAGCAGATTTGAATTTGGCCACTAGATGGTGCTATTGCTCAAGCTTTGGGTTTGATTGATTGATTGAAAAGTTCATTAACAGCTTGTATATTGGGTACAGTACAGCTCAAAACATACAATTGTTAAGGGGATGCAGACCAGAGAAAGACTTTCGTCTTGTTTACATCAGGGTCCCCCATTTCCAATTCATCATAGACAGTATCAAACTTGTGTATCACTGTCATGTGTGTTACTGTGTTATTATTTTGCACTGTATATCATCTTTCTTTTCTTTATGTTTATGTTCAGCACCCTTTCCAAGAAGACCCAGTCTGTGATTCAGACCCTGAAGAAAGACGGGGTTTTAACAGTGGAGCTGGAACAAAACCTGAGGAGCTGCCGATCAGCTGATCAACTGGATCATGTGGTCAGAATCACATTATTATTCCAAAACAATATGTGTCCTTTGAAATGTTATTTGGAGATCCAATTCTTATTTCCATTCTTATTTTTGGAAACCTGATTATACGCTTCTCTTTACCACTCATCTCAGTTCACTGGTTCTGTTTGTGTCTGTAGTATTCTCCCTATAAGAAAGGCAGTAAGCTGACGAAGGCTCGCCGGGCCAAAGCCCTCGGTCTTGAGGATGCCGCCTCTTTACTCATGAACACACCACACACTCTGGATTTAAGGACATGGGTAAAACCTGGTACTGAAGGTAAGGCATACACACAAAGTGGTGCATTTTGATGTGATTAATTCAACATAGCACTTACATTTAACATACATCTTGGACAATAACCCCATGGACCTCGGGTGTCTTACATTTGCTCTTTAGTGTACTGTTTTTGTTTGTGTGTCAGGTCTGTCATCGGTGGAAGAAGTGTCTACAGGTGTGGAGCATATCTTAGCAGATTTGATCGCCAAAGACCCTGAGACACTCGCCTATGTGAAAACATTGTGAGAACCTACCTACATGCACACACCATTTCTACAGTGATGTTTCATTTCCATAGTTGTCTGTGTTATTTTGACATTGGTAGTGTATTGAACCTGCCACATTGATAATAATCCAGTGCCCTCCTCTACTTTCTCTCCCTCTCTGTGTTTACCTCTTGCTGTGACAGGTGTGAGAACAGCTTTGTGACCATCCAGTCGTCTGTGTCCAAGTCTGCACTTAAGGAGAAGGAGCTAAAGTCTGTCCAAGACCACACAAAACCAGGGGCCAAGCAAAACAAAAAAATGGACATTGACAAGTTCCACCTATACGTTGACTTCACCTCCAACATCCAACGCATCCAGCCCCATCAGGTAGAAACACAGACCTGTTTATGGTTCCCTTTTTCCCTCCTTCCCTGTTTTCTGGTACTCTTCGTCGTTGAAATTCACTAGAGCAGTTGGGATATTATTATCTAGCTAAATGGTTAGCACTGGTGTTCTTGTCGGAAAAGTTTCTCCCTACCCTTTGGAAAATGTTACATATAGAAACTTAAAGTTAAACACCTAAAACACCTTCAAGAACAAAGCAACAGCATTATGGTATAACACACATAAAAGTACTACACAGCCTTAAGAAACATTTATTGTATGATGATTATTTTAGCAATATACAAATTATTTGTGTATGCTGGACTATACTTAGTGTCTTCATCTGCACACACACACACATATACAAACAAATGCGCACCATCTGTTTGTGTTTGTGTCATTTCTGTCTGCTTCATCTGTGCTGCTTTTGAATGCTAGCCATGTCAGTCACAGTTAGCCTTGTCTGTGCCTCCATATTTCCCCCTCCTGTGCCCTGCTCTGCCTCCTCTACACCCCCCCGTCCCTCTAGTGACTAGTGTGTTACTCAGAGTTGGTCCCGGGCCTCATGTGTCACCACAGCTTCCATCAGCCGCTGCCTCTCTGCCACATCACACTCTCTGGCAACCCCTTTCTGCCCTACAGTCATACAAACACATAAACATACATGCAAGCACACACACTTGCTCACAAACAAGCACACCCTGCAAGTCCCCTCATTCTCTCCTCTTAACATATGTGACATGTCCCCTGCCGACATGCCATTGGATTAGGAGGCTTTGATTGACAGGCGCTCTTCTGTAGTGACAGCTACTGCTGCTGGGCCTAAAGGCGGACGGAGGGATGGGGAGAGAGGGTGGCAACGGGAGGGAGAGGCTGAACAGATGAGTGACGTTGAGGTGCGTCCGTCACTTATCTCTGCTTGGCTCTGACCTCCCTCCCTCCCTTCTCTCTGACTAAACCTCAGCCCTCCAATCCACTCCACACCTCCCCTCTTCCCCTCTCCTGCTCGGTTTATGAGAGACCTTTAATTCATGACTTTGTCATGGAGCGTTAATCCACAGGCTGCTGTGACCTGCTAGCTGTCGGATTCCGGCTAAAATGAACCTTTTCTAGCCGTCAAGCTGTCATATAGGGGGGGCAGGTGGGAGATGTGTTTTGACAGGAGGCATGTGTGTGAGCACACACTTGCCCGTTCGCTTTAGCACATTTTATTAAGCCTCACTACTGGTGGTTTGTTAACGAGAAAGCACGAGGCATTTGTGAAGGGGGCAAAAAGCAAACATTTAGAGTTGGTCCAGTGAACATGCAAAGTCCCCCCGTCAGATATGACCTGTAGCCTGTAGTGGCTGAAAAAAAAGGTTAGATAAGAATTCATATTTCATATATCTTATGTCAAAAAAATCTTGGAATGATAAACTAAATTAATTCTAAATTGTGGTATTGTAACTTGTAAATGATTTATGATAAGTCTTACAAAGACAAATATGTTGTATTGAGACATTGGTAATCCTAAAAAGAGAGTCATTTAACTTCAGGTACTTATTGTCTGCCTTATATGCATTCTGGGTGTAAAGAAGGAGGCAGCTTTTATTGTTTTTTATTTCCTTAATTTTTTTATTCTCAATACATTTGCCAATTTTCTTGTTTTGTCCAACTTATATTTGAAAACTAAAAATGAAACAAAGTCTCACAGTTTATAAGGAATAAGCAAATGTTTGGCATTTTTGCTTACAAAATATATTTTTTAATGTATTAGTAAAAATAGTAGCCAATAAAGTTTAAATCGAGTAATTTACTGTCAGATTAGATAAATGATTGAACTCCTAAAACATCATTTTTAGAGTCATGAAATCTAATAATACCACAGATGTATGACTTTAGTATAATAATCTAACTATTTCATACATTTATCTAAATGAGTCTTTACCAATCTCTGGTATACAGCAAGACTTAAATCCATTTGACAGATCTAGTCGAGATGCTTAGCTCAGATTGAATTCCATCAGATTTGATTTGAAGTCTTCTTCTTCAGAGGGTCCACATTCACCTCATAGCTATTAGCAGCCGGGACGCTCTCGATTATGCCAGGGTGGATTTGCTGAATGAGTGGGCTATTTTTAATTCGATTTGCGTTGTGATCAAATGGTAGTTTAGCGCTTTAGAGTGGGGCTCGCCTGCAGAGGAGCTTAGATAAATGGAAATGTTTAATCAATTTAACACTTATTTTTGATGGACAGGTGGAGAAAAACATGTTAAAGAATGTGTCAATGTCTGTATCGGTCTTAATGCTGTGGAGGTTAACAAAAGAGTACACATTGGTCTGCTTTCTTTTTTGTACTTAGTAATATACATTTTTAAAACTGAGATACTGAAACAGATATTAAAGGTCACCTATTATACTGTTTTTCCTCAATATATTACAGGTCTCAGATATATACAAAACATGTCTCTGAAGTGTTTGGCTCCAAACACCAAACAGATCATTGCAGCATCCCATAATCCCCTCTGTTTCAGCCCTGTTTCCAAAGTGCTGATTCTTTGTCTGTTACTTTAGAGGAAAATAAGGAGCCCCTCCCCACGCCCCTCTGATACCTCATTCACACCAACGGTGTTTCAGGGCCGGTTCAGAGCTGGAGCTTGAAAAGCACCGGGTTTTCCTGTTCACACCGCAGCGGAGCAGCCTCTTAGCTCCGGAATCCGGTTCGTTTCAAGCACCAAAAAATTGTCCGGCCAGAGCAAAAGCACCACATACGTCACGCTTACGTCGAGGCAGGGGCAGGGGCAGGGGCAGGGGCAGGGGCAGGGGCAGGGGCAGGGGCAGGGGCAGGGGCAGGGGCAGGGGCAGGGGCAGGGGCAGGGGCAGGGGCAGGGGCAGGGGCAGGGGCGGGATCAACTCCTGAACAACAACAAAAAGCCCGCGTTTTATCCAGTTTGTACAACGATGGAGAAACTTAACAAGAGTTTCAGAGTTTCAGCCATAGACTGTATAAAGCAGGCATATTCAAATGGCGGCCCGCGGGCCAGATGCGGCCCACAACCAACTCCCGAGTGGCCCAGCCTACCGTGGCCAAATTCCTACACTAGTACAGACCATGAACGCAACACTCCGCTTTGCATAGAAACCACCAAACCACAATGCAACACGTTTTTTGAAAGTACATCTAGTGGTGCTAGTAACGGTGGTCCTATGATAGCAACTCTAAAACATGTCTCTCTCAACTCTGAAGCGTAAACAGAGACAAAACGGTCATTGATCTTGTGGAGCAGATGCGCGTCAAGTCAAGCTGGACCGACTTGAGTACGGGTCGGATGCTGCATTTTCCGACGCTCCGCAAACACATCACATCCCCGGCACAAATCACGGATGTGATGACAGATTTCATTGCGAGGTTGAAACTTTGCCGGTTGATTGGATGGACTTGCTCTGCCCACAGAGGTGATGGGCTTTGCCAGAGACCGCTTCACTGTTGCAATAGAGGGGGACGTATCAACCAGAGCAAAGGAAGTGGTCCCCTGCATCGACGAGGGGAAATTTACACTGGAACTTATTGACATGCATTCATCCGTAACCATGGCACAAGAGCAGCGCACTAACGGGCGGCCAGCGAAGTTTTGGAGTGATGTAAAAAAACAGCAGTTCCCTAACGTTCAGAAAGTAGCGATCTGTGTGCTCAGTATGTTTGGATCAACATACACATGTGAATCAAGCTTTTCACACATGAACTCAATAAAAAGTACCACTCGTGAGTCGTTGACTGACAGCAGTCTTGGATTGCATTGACATCCTATGAGCCAAAAATCACTGCTCTTGTTCAAAACAAAAAATGTCACTTCTCCCATTGAGAAAGTCAGCGATGACAAATCACAAATGAGGTGATAGTAAGCACCTAGTTTACTATAGTAGACGTGTAGTATTCATTCATATGTTAGTTACCCTTATCCCGTGTTAGGGTTTGTGCACTGAAGGGTTTGACAGTTCTTTTTGTATTCATTTAAATGCACTTTGTAATGTGTCTGGGTCAAATGTGACCAAAACGTATGATTTTTTTGTTATTACTTGAAAAGTGAAAAAATAGTAGGCCTATTGCTAGAGTACTACCTCTTTGTGTTACATTGGAGCTCTTTAACTGTTTGTTAATGCACTTTTTGATGTGCATGTATGTATCCAATTTTATTTTGTATGTGAGGACATTTATTAAGACTTCTATTATTGTATTCAGTTAAATGCACTTTGTGATGTGCCTGGTTCAAAAAAACATAACCTGAATATTTGACTTCTAAAGCAAACAAATGTAATGCTACAACTGTGCACTTTTTTTTTCCCGAATGCACTTTGAGATGCCTCAGATTCTGTTACATTAATGCAAATTTGTTGTGTTTTTATGCACTTTTTGACGTACCTTTGTTAGATGAACAATGAATACAAATGGAATGTTTTTCATCGCAGTAATATGTGTTGGTTTAAAATGTGTCATTACCCGCTTTTGACAGGCCGCTGAATGTCTGGCCCAGCTGAATTTTGTAGTTATAAAATCTGGCCCAACTGAATGTGTAATTGAATAGCCCTGGTATAAAGGTTTCTGCTCATGGTGAAGCAACGTGTCTACGTGTTAAGGTGGAACCTGAGCATTCACGTTGATCACCTCTCATTATAACTCATTATAAATCTATAAAACTATAAATATTAAACTTTACTTCACGTGTTCATTTGAGAACAGCTGTTACATACCTGGGTGAAGGTTACAGTTCATTTAAATGAAAGATACAACGTTACTCCACACTCATGGTTCAGTCCACCTTAAGAAATAAGACCGACCTCGGAAGCAGTTGTGTTTTAAAAAAACCTTTATTGACACGAGTACACTTTTTTATAAGAATATAACTAAACCACAGAAATGACTCCGGAAAAGCTGCAGATAGAGCCATAAGAAATAAATGCAACTGATTTCATCCGGGCGGTTTGGCTTTATGAAGCAGGCACGCAAACGGTTACGTCATGACGCAACCGATGACGCAACGACGCATTACCAGTCGGACTCTGGGCGGTGTGAAAAGAGCTAAACCGAAGAACTGGTTCTGAACCTGAAAAGCTCTAGCACGGAGCTTGAACCGGAGTTGCGTTGGTGTGAATGAGGTATGAGAGATATGTGGTTAAAAAGAACACAATGGTGCTCTAGGAGGAGATTCAGGTGATAAGGTGGGTGGTGGTTACCTTGGTTGGTGATTGGCTAATTGTCACACAAGCCAAAACATCGTTATGACATCATAAAGTGGCCAAAATCTGATCAGCTCATTTTCAGACAGGTTTTTATATAAATGGATCAGGACAAAAAGAGAGAGAATCTTTTTTCCTGAAACTTTCAGAACCTCTTTACACAGAGGGGACACATGTAGAAGAGACATGAAAAAGTGGATTTTGCATGATATGTCCCCTTTAACACATTGGAAAGGTCACATTTGAAACTTACGGACAGTACTTGGTTATTGAGATGCTTGTCCTTCCTCTCCTCATTCTGAGCTGAACTGTGTTGTTCCATGTTCGACCGTCAGACTCCCTGCTGTGTTGTGTTTGTTTTTGGATAGAAAAAGGGAGTGTAAAGGAGGGCAGAGTTCTCCCTGAGCAGCCTGTGTGTTTGTGTAAAAGACCAGTGTATCATGCTGGGCCATGATCCCTCATGTAGACGTATCTTCATTTATGTTTAGAAAGTCAATATTGACATACTAACGTCTAAAGGATAACATTCAATAAAAGTAGCTTACATTCCATATGCTCCACTAGTTGTACTATCATTGTTTATCAGGAACATTATATGCTTATCTTGCCTTTTGTTTTTAACCCTAGCACTAGTACATTTAAGAATGACATGTTTTTATGGAATAAAAGGCCGTCTGCTGACAGCTCTGTTAGACTGTTATTATACAGTGTGCCCCATGAGTGTCAGCCAGGTCAGAAAGTGTGCTGTGAGTCTGTGTATCTGTTTTTTTCTTTATCCTTGATATGTCGGATGGTTGGATGTGTTGATGATGATCGTAGTCCTCTAAGAAATGTTGAGAGAGAGCAGGAGACAGATAGAGAGGACGTTGGCTGACTGCCCTCCCTCGGGGGGCCGGTGGCGGGACTGAGGAAAGACGCTCTGTCTGCTCTCGTCAGGGTTTGGCCAGCACTCGGCCACATGTCACTCGTGGCCCGTCTAACACACAAACACATGCTTCTCACTCTGTCTCACATCACCCTTCCTCTCAGATCACCCTCTGTCTCCCACCAGTGACCCGACCCAGGCAGAAAGCGAGAGATGAACAGAGAGACTCGGTTATTCATCATCAGCGGGGACTGAGGCCAAGGAAAAGCACAGCAAGGACACACATTAAACTCAACTTTTGGAGGCAGTCAGGGTTTGAGAACAAGGCAATAGAGAACAATGTTTTAGTTTGTATTAGTTAAATAATAGGAATCTAGGAAGCATACATTTGATTTAGTAGATTTACAGCAATGTGTTGCCTGATAATTTATGTTAATGCATGCAGGCAACACATGGACACCAGGGGCTTTGGCACATGTTAAACATCTGATGCATAGAGCTTGCATAATTATAAGGACAAAGAAAACTTAAATGGTCTTTTATCAATGCGTCAAAGCATTGTGTATAGACAGTCATGTTTGTCTGTATGGCTTCTGTTGTCTCCCAGTGCTTACCTTAAGTCTGGTTACCAAAAATAGATCAGTTTTGGTAAAAGACTCGGTCATTGTTCCTCCATCATTTTTTCTGAATGCGCCAAAGTTTGGTTTATCAATAATGTCCTTGTTTTAAGTTAATGATACTCAAACTAGGGCTGTGCGATTATGGCAAAAATCATAATCACGATTATTTTGGTCAATAATTGATATCACGATTATTAAAAACGATTATCCATTTACTTTGAAAACATCCATTTATTGAAAAAAATAATATGGAACAATATGTTTTTAACAGTTGATTACCCTGAACTTTAATTCAACTGAAAAACCAATACAAATTAAAAATTAAATAAAAAGATTAAATAATAAAAAAAAAAAAAAAAAAATCGTTTTATTTTTTATTAAAATACGATTAATTGCACAGCCCTAACTCAAACTGTGCTTTGGAACATGTATTCTTCCCCACATTCAACAAGCAGATGTCACGCATCAAGGTGTAATTTATGTAGAAATCAGCCTGTAATGTATGACATGTCATGTAAAGGCTGTATGTGGTTCTTCATTATACAAAATGATCAAACTTCAAACCCTGAGAACACATATTTACCAAGGCTGTTCTGCATTCATCACTCAGAAAGAAGTGTTTTGCTTCCTTCCGGAAACATGTTAAACTTCAGAGCTTTGATGAAGATTGTTTGAGAAATGTCATCACAGTTCGTGCGGCAGCCCAGGGGAGAAACACCAGAAGAGAAATCTAACTTTCATCATAATTCAAGCAAACTCGCTGCATTAATTCTCTGCCATGCCATTAGCTGTGTTTTTAGATTTGTATTTTCATACACATCCGAGGGTGCTGCTGAGTGGTAATGGTTGTGGCACCACGTGTGTGGCTGTGGGTGGGGGGGGTAGGCCTTGCGGTCTCAGCGCTGATGGTGGCGTAGTGGTGGCATTTGTCAGCTTGCTTCTTCCGCTTGGTTTCCAGATTGACGTCTTGTTTCTTGGCCCTGTTCGGTGGCGGGCTAAAGGTTCCCCGCTGAAAAGGTCAGACACTTACTACAGTTTGCTTAACAGCATGTAACAGTTCCTCCGAGGGGGGAGCAGCACACAACACAACAGGCCACCGCCACAGGATACACTGCCAGGCTCGTCACTTGTACACGCGTGTCTGTGAAGAGTTACGGTTTTGCTTTCTTGTGTTGATTTTAGTGGATGTTTTTGTGAAGATACATTTTTAAATACATATACAATATTTATAAAGTAACCCAATTCAAGACATTTTCTTCCCTTTCCCCCCAAAAGTCCTAAGGTGATTCCAAATCTACACCTTTACATTTTTTATGATTTTGGCTGTGTGAAATGATATGTTCCTTTAAATGTTACTTATATTTAGTAACTCAAATGCAGCATTCACTGAAAATGAGTACAATAACAGGAGCTTAACTTATCTGAGTTCAAATGCACATTTATTTAAAAATGAACCTACAGTCATCCACTCACTGTGGAGGTGGCTTTTCAAAATGTTTTTAGTGTGTAAGTTGTGGAGCTTTTTAGAGCATATTTCCTCTCTGTGTTCATGAACATACATTCATTTAAACTGTTTATAGTATTGCCTTAAACAGGGTTAATATGTCTGTATGTTTTGTGTGTGTTTTGAATGTGTACAGACCCTGGCTATTAACCGAGGGGAGAGTCTGAAGATTTTGACAGTGAAGGTGAACATTCCCGACAGGGTGAAGAATGATTTCACGAGGTGGTGCATCGACAACAGGTCAGAAACACAAACGGCACAACACTCTGACAAGCATGCACTTACACACATGCACACACAATATGCTGAAATGCTGTAGAAATACTGAAGATGAAACTACCTCCAACCAGACATCTATGAAGGCTGCTAACTTATATGTTTTTAGATACAATTGAGTACCTCAGCGAAATAGTGAGTGTAATGCTTGATCATTTAGTTTACATTTTCTCGATTTTAGCATTTTTGCACTGGTAACTACACTACTGCTCATTGTGACTACATGAAATAAGTGAAACATTTAAGCAGGGCTATGCTGACATACGGGTCCTCAGTGAACTTATTTTGTACAGATAGAGGTTGAATAATGAAATAGAAATCACACTTACTATTTAATCAGGCTGTGATATGAATGGTCTGTACATTTAACACTAAAACTTAAATCCTTGCTTGAAAATATAATACAATCTATTTTATATGTGTTGGTTATAGAATAGAATTGGGAAGGATGAAACCCTCTTTAATGGTCACACATGCAGAGCAAACAGCGCACACAGTGACATTTGGACTCTGCATTTAACCCATCACCAGGAGTCTAGTACTAGGAGCAGTGGGCAGCTATTGCACAGCGCCCGGGGAGTGAGGGGGGAAGGGGGGTGTACGGTGCCTTGCTCAAGGGCACTACGGCAGGGCAGGAGGTGAACTCTCTCCATATTTAGGTCTGGTCGGGGACTTGAACCGGCGACCCTACGGCTCACAGTCCCTACTGACTGAGCCACTGCCGGACTCCTATGGGATCTTACTTATGGGATTTGGAAACATATTTTAACCCTGAGAGGGAGGTAGTTGATTTACAGATTAGAGGATGTCACAATGACTTATTTATATTGCATTTATTAACTCTTAAAAAACCGTTTGTTCCACTGATTTATTGCAGGTGGAAACCGAAAACGTTTGCTAGAGAAGAGCATTGGGCGATCGTCAGGAGTGCGATTGATGACTCTTACAAAAGGCTTATTCTGCCCTTCCTAACTAGAAATTACAGGTATTTGAAGTGTTACTTTTAATGTGTGTTTATGCTTTTTAGAGGGTTTTTTATTTTTTGATAACTGTGTCCCCTGTCTGTCTCCCCAACCCCATCCTTACTTTGACTTTTTCTATATTTGTCTTCTTTCTCTCTCAAAACAATCTTTCTTTTTTCACCTCTTTTGCAAAACATATTTTCTTCGGCTCCTCGGCCAATGTTTACCCCTATCCCCATCCCTCTCTGTCTTTCCTGCTTCGCCTCTCTTTAGGACTAAGCTGTCAAGTGCAGCAGAGAAGGAGTCGATCGCCATGTTTGTGAGTAACCTCCGGCGCTGCCTGTTGGTGGGTCCAGTCCGCGGCTGTGTCATCTTGGGGGTGGACCCTGGCTTTAGACATGGCTGTAAGCTGGCAGTTCTCTCCCCCACGGGTAAGTGACCACTAAATATATATTACTACCTACTTTTGCCTCCAAAGCAGTTTGATCTCTCTTTCTCATAACAACATACCTATCTCCCATGACCATCGTCTTTATTACACTGTTTTTATAAAGCTGTGGGCATCACAGGGCATAACATCCTGGGATGGCAGCTGTGTCTGAGAGGCTGTCAGATTGGATGATTCATGTTGATCCATTGTGGTCGACAGCAAACACAGGTGTATCCTGTGCCTCTGGTTTGATCTGGGGTGAAAGAGTTATATAAAGTGCAGCTCAATGAGATCATGGGCTTGAGATATGTTCCACTAACACAAATTAAGCTCTACTACTTTCTCCTAATTAGTGTTCTCTTCCATTCATACATTGGTTGTTGATGCATTCAATCACACACACACTGCTATCGTTTTACACCAACAGTATATTTCTGTAATTGTAGTCACATATTCAAGGATGATCTACTCTAGGAGTACTCAAACTTTTTTGTTAAAGGTCCACTTGTGAATTTTATACAAGGTCAATGGTCCGGATCAATGCCAGTAAAGTAAAAGGAAATTAAGAAGCAGTTTCGGCGTGCTATGCATGGGACCCCCTTAAGGGGGTTTCCCGACATGTCGTTGCAGTAAATTAAAGGGTCTTTCATGTTGTCGTTGCTGTGGACCCTCTTAATCTTTTTTTTTTTTTTTAAATGTTTACGTTTATTCTGGTTTGTTTTGTGTTTGTATCTTTTATTTTAAATTTATTTATTTATGTTATGTTTTGTGAGCTGAGCTGTGTGGTTTTATATTGTATGTATCTCTCTGTACAGCACTTTGGTCAGGAGGTTTTAAAGTGCTATATAAATAAAGTTGGATTGGATTGGATTAATCTACTTTATTTGGGGGCCCCCTTCTGGACCAAGCACTTGCCTGTCGGTAAACGGCGCCCCTGTATACACATACACATTCAATACATACATAGAGTGTGATGGCTTGAACTAGTGGGAGAAATGGCACTGTTTGTCTGTAGCCAATCCCTTGAACCTCGGCAAAAATGGCATGAGAAGCATTAGAAAGTCAAGGTAAACTTGCGGTTAACTTAAATGCATGTCACGCTCGCGCACACAAGTAAATATATATGCACGTTCATTCTCAGAACGCGTCAGACACAAGAAAATATACATTAAAGGGGAGCTATCATGCAAAATGCACTTTGTGATGTCTTTTATACATAAGTATGTGTCCCCGGTGTGATGGGGAACTCACGCAGCGTCAGAAAATAAAACCCTCTCTCTTTTCCTCCGTACCCAAATCTTTTAAAAACAGGGATACAACGAGCAGATAGAGATTTGCTGCCGATCTGACGTCAAATCGGCAGCGGACCCACAGAAAGTTGCTATCAGAAACAATGCCTGACGTGTTTTGGACGTAATCTCGTCTTTGTTTACATTAGCCAGCCTCGCTAACACTCAGTAACCTGTACTGGAGAGCCCATGTGTTTAAAAAGCAGGAAATCAAAAAGGAACTCACCCTGTGATAAACCCGCAAGAGAAAAAGCATTTGAGCTCCATACTGTTTAAGAAATAATCCATGATGTGGTTTAGAACAGGATGGCATTTTATCACAACAGAATTTAACTTTATCTCTGGTAGAATTCTGATCAGGCATTAGCCCCGCCTCCTCTTTTCTTTTTTTTCAAGCTAAGGACCCAACATCCGGTGTTTCTTCACAGACATGTTTTGTATAGTTAAGACCCTACAATATATTTTTTCCAATATAGCATAATAGGTCCACTTTAATTTACATCAGAATCAGAATTGTCTTTTTTGAATAATTTTTTTTTGTTTTATAATTTTTATTTTTTATTTTTTATAATAGGACACAGGGTTCGGTCCGGATTGATTTACAGTTCGGTCCGGATCCGGACCTTGGTCCGGAGTTTGAGAAGCCCTGATCTACTCTATCACTATATGCAAACTAAACTGCCATCGTACATTCATGGCTAACAGTGTGAGTGTGCATGTGCACGCTAGAGACTAGATGCCAGTTGGCATGACCCTGGTGGGTGGACTTTGTGTTAGCGTGCGTATGTCTACGTCTGTTTTTGTGGTTCTGCTTTAATATACAGTGTGTCTCAGTGGGTGTGGCCTCACACTGCGCTAGGGTAGGTCCCTCCCTCTGGGTGACTGATTATGTGGCTACAAGTCACGCTGACAAATTGCCCCACAGGGACATTAAAGTTTTTGAATCTTGACACTTACAACAGACAGACACAGGTATAGGAACCACAGGAGTGCTCACATGACTTCTATTCAGAGCTACACTTCTACTCTGAGATGTTGTGTTCATAACATATTTGATTTGGTTAGGATAATGCTGCTTTGTTTGAAAGCATACAGTGGGGAGACATTCTCTTATAATATACAAGTTATTACTTTAAGGCAAGGCACGTTTATTTATATAGCACTTTTCAACACAAGGCAATTCAAAGTGCTTTACAAAAATGAAAGACATTAAGAAAATAGCATTTAAAAACAGTCATTAAAAAGCAAAGATAATAAAAGAAACATTAAAAGAAAAAAGTACATGGATAAAAGTTACAGTGCAGTCTAAGATATGAATAGTTCAATTAAAAGCAGCGGCAAAAAGAAAAGTCTTCAGCCTGGATTTAAAAGTAGTCAGAGTTGCAGCGGACCTGCAGGTTTCTGGGAGTTTGTTCCAGATATTTGGAGCATAATAACTGAACGCTGCTTCTCCATGTTTAGTTCTGACTCTGGGGACAGAAAGCTGACCAGTCCCTGAAGACCTGAGAGATCTGGATGGTTCATAATTTAGCAGGAGGTCAGAAATGTATTTTGGGCCTAAACCATTCAGTGCTTTATAAACCAGCAGCAGTATTTTGAAATCTATTCTTTGACACACAGGAAGCCAGTGTAAAGACTTCAGAACAGGAGTGATGTGATCCACTTTCTGTTAGTGAGGACTCGAGCAGCGGCGTTCTGAATTAGCTGCAGCTTCCTAATAGATTTTTTAGTGAGACCTGTGAAGACACCATTGCAGTAGTCGAGTCTACTGAAGATAAAAGAATGGACAAGTTTTTCCAAATCCTGCTGTGACATTAGTCTTTTAATCCTAGATATATTCTTTAGGTGATAGTAGGCTGATTTAGTAACTGTTTTAATGTGACTGTTGAAACTCAGGTCAGAGTCCATGACTACACCTAGATTTCTGGCTTTATCTGTTGTTTTGAACATTGCAGACTGAAGCTCAGCGCTAACTTTTATACGTTCTGCCTTGGCTCCAAAAACCATTACCTCAGTTTTATCTTTGTTTAATTGGAGAAAGTTCTGACACATCCAGTCATTGATTTGTTCAATGCACTTACTCAGTGCTTTAACTGGAGAATAGTCTCCTGGTGAAATGGTTACATACATTTGGGTGTCATCCGCATAGCTATGGTAACTTATTTAGTTGTTTTTCATTATCTGAGCCAGTGGTAGCCCCCTCTAGTCATAATATGCATTTATCATCAACATTGAATTTTCTCTTTCCCTGTTTGCCTTCATCTCCCTGCTCTCAGGTCAGATTATCCATACTGATGTTGTCTACCTGCATAATTCAGGCCAGCAAAGAGAAGTGGACAAACTGCACCACCTAATGATGACATACAGGTACTGCTGCTTGTGTTTTAGTGGTGACTGTTACAAACATACTGTCTTAGCTGAGTTTGTGTTGTGTTGTTTAATGTTATATTGCTATAACATTCCTGTTATAGGAATGTTGTAACATTTCCATTCCATTTATGTAGCAGTAGAAATAACTCAAAATCATCCTGACTGTTTCCTGATGAATAACCTGATATTCTAAACAAGGAAAGATCATTTTGAAATGAACCTTATTTTAGAATCTGTTTACTTTTGGTGTCCTAATCCTCATTGTCCTTTTCCTCTTGTCTGTACTAGCTGTACTAATGTTGTCATTGGCAACGGGACAGCGTGTCGTGAGACTGAGTCCATCTTCGCTGACCTCATCTCTAGGCGCTGCTTTCACCCCCTGGACGTGTCTTACTGGTAAGGTCCTTCATCCAGAGCACGATTATAAACCTGCCGCAGTTACCCTGAATAAAACAAGTGGGCATGATATGCAATATCCAGGGTGTCCGCGGGGTGTTAAAAAGTATTAAAAGTTGATAAATCAATTTAGTGAAAATGAAGGCTATTAAAAAGTATTAAACGGCATTTTCCAAGGTATTACATTTTGTAGCTTGTTTTCAATAAGTATATAAATGGTCCAAAGAGGTTGTATTCTACAGTGTGCCTGAATGTAATCATTGCGTAGGTGTGTAGTGTGATTCTGTGTCGTTTATTTATGGCATCCCGTTGGGTTTGACGTCATCTATTCATATTTAATAGTTTATATTCTAAAATTCGTTTAATACAATTCTGTTTCCATGTAAATTACTGCTTTATTTAATTTGTATTGCTATTTAACTGTATTTTATTACGGTGTCAAATATTTTTTGTTTTATATTAGATTTCTTGTTTTTTTATATTTTATGTCTGCATCAAGTCAAATTCCTAGTATGTGCGAACCTACCTGGCAATAAACCTGTTTCTGATTCTGATCTGAACAGGACATCGCACGCTCACTGCTTGATAGCGCGCAAAGGTCCGTTTACGCCGGTTGTTAAACAACATCGTTATGGGGAAATGCACATTTTCTCAATATTTCTTTCTCTTTCCTAACTTGTCAAACATTTTAAAAGACGTTCAAATAACAACATCTTTTATAATAAATGATCCTTGAAATATTCCTGAGGGTAGTTTGTAAAGCCTTAATGCCAAAGTTCAGGCTGCCAAGTGTGAGAGAGGTATGAAAAGATGGGTGTAAGTGAGGTTGAGACAGTCACAATATAGAAATTCACTGATTGAATAGTGATGAGAGACCATAGCGGTTGAATAATGGAAACTAGCAGTGTGAGAGAGTAAAGGAAAGAAGTGTGGGTATGAGAGAGCTGCACACAGACAAAATCACAATGTGTCCCTCAAGCCATTACTGTCTATTAAAGCCATCTGGACTACGTTTCACTTCAGTCCAATTAAAGAGACGTTTTGTGGTCCACCTTGTGTCTGTAACCAGGCCCAGTCGACACTTCAGAGTACAACAGAACAGGACTTCGGTCCAAGCATAATAACCGCTGGCCTCTCTTCTCTTTCTGCTTAGTTCCATGTGTGTTTGTTGACTTGAAGTTAGCTTTGGGACCTCAGCCTAGAATGATTGTGAGCTGTGTGCATAAGAGAGGTTTGACAGTATCTTTGAGTTCATACACACATGCACACTTCAGAGGTCATAGCTTTGGACCACAAGTTCCATTTTCTGTCTATTTGCAGGAACATAAACGGTCAAAGTGGGGCGTTTATTCATTTAACCTTCCCTTGATTATTTTCATGACAGACATTATTTTTTCTTCTGAGCACCTCCAGAGAAGTAACATTTTACATCTTGATATAATGTTCACTTTTTCACTGGAGCTAATGGCATTTGTGCTTTCCACAAAGAGATGGAATGTTGGACTTGTGTTTGATGTGGTGCTGACTGAATGTCCTATATCACCTGATATGATGAACTATATTTTTGCAGCATATATCACATGTGTTAATGGTCTACCTTCGCCTTAATAGGGTTTGTGGAATAAAGGATTTTGTAAGAGCATGAACTTTAGAAGAGCAGAGAGATGTTATTTTGACGTTAGCCATAGAAGTATGGTTGTTGTTATCCAGATGAAATCGCCCTGCAGTCATCTGGTCTCATGCCTCACTTTAGTTTCTTTGGACCGTGTGTGATGTCGGCTCAGAAACATAGATGTTAAAGTAATGTACACACAGAGTGCTCTGGTTTCTTCTCTATCGATCCTTTGTCACATTCTCATAATTCCTGTCTTCACTCCGTTTCTCTGTTTTCTCTCTCCTTCCTTTCTTTCCATCGTCTGCCCTCTTCAGAAAAGTTTGATCTAATAAATGTAATTTTAAAGCACCCTGCAAAGTCCAAATGCTTACATCTCAGTTGGGGTTCTCCCGACAAACATCTTCATACTATAAGACCAATCCTTTTTATATCTGTTTTATTTTTACCTTAAATACAACTTTTTTTTAAACACATAGGAGTTGTACATTTTAAGCACTTTTCTCAATCTTCTGTTGCTTACATTAATAACCATAAGTATAATTTATTACTCATTTATAAAATATAAAAAGGACAGTTTTATCATGGAGGTGCTGTGTGCAGCATAAATACTTTAAAGTGGACCTATCATGCTATATTTGAATAATATATTGTAGTGTCATACCTATATAAAACATGTCTGTGAAGTTTTTTTTTCAAAATACCAAACAGATCATGCATTTTAGCCATGCCTCATTTCGCTCTATTTGCTCTTTTCCAGCCCTGTTTTTGCGCATGAAAATCACTCACCTTTCGGCGAAATTCGCCGTTTTGAATCCAAAATAGGTCGTTTGTGTGATTCATGTAGATCTGCAATAAAAATATTTTTGGGGTATGGGGGGGTCTGGGACCCGGAGTAATCTGCTGCCGTGAGCTGTTATGTGCCATCATGACACGCATGGTGTTTTTTTAAAATATATTATAATGCAGCGCGAGCTGTGTGCTCGAGTCTTCCTGCCTGTCGGCTCTGCTGCTCCGCGATGATGGTCTAGCTTCAGCAGCCACATTACCTACGGGTGCGTTCGTTAATATTAACTGTGCGGTCCGGAGTCACTGTGGTACAGACTGGACCGCTGGTGAACAGCTGTTAGAACGGGCCTCAGGTGTTCAGAGCAGAGCTCCCTGTCGGAGCTGCAGAGCGTGATGTAAACTGAAAAGTTTTTCTGTCGCAATATTATCGTTGAGCTGGCTAGCTAGCATACATTGTCACTATCTGCTAACGTTAGCTTTAGCCTTCGTTTTCAAATAGTTTTTTTTTCATAGGCTATAAACGGAGGTGGTATAAGTATAGATCTTGTACTTGAGTAAAAGTAGAAGCACTCAGATCTTGTACTAGAGTAAAAGTAGAAGTACTCAGATCATGTACTTGATTAAAAGCAGAAATACTCAGATCTTGTACTTGAGTAAAAGTAGAAGTACTCAGATCTTGTACTTGAGTAAAAGTAGAAGTACTCAGATCTTGTACTTGAGTAAAAGTAGAAGTACTCAGATCTTGTACTTGATTAAAAGCAGAAATACTCAGATCTTGTACTTGAGTAAAAGTAGTAGTACTCAGGTCTTGTACTTGAGTAAAAGTAGAAGTACCAGAGTGTAGGAATACTCTGTTAGTAAAAGTACTGCATTCAAAATGTTCCTCAAGTAAAAGTAGAAAAGTATTCTCATCAAAATATAGTGAAAGTAGCGACAGTAAAAGTAGTCGTTGTGCAGATTGGTCCATTTCAGAATAATATATATGATATGTTTTATAATGATTGATCATGAAAGTGTTCTCAAAGCTGGTAAAGGTGCAGCTAGTTTGAATGACTTTGCAGGGTAGCTGGTGGATTTACTCCAGGTGGAACTAAAGTCTGATTCAACACTTGATTAGATTTCACATCATTCATCCACATCTGTAAAGTAACTAAAGGTATTAATACATGTAGTGGAGTCAAAGTACACCATGTACCTCTGAACTGTAGAGGAGAAGAAGAACAAAGTAGCAAAACATTGAAATACTTAAATAAAGTACAAGTATCTCAAAATTGTAACCCAGTATAGTACTTGAGTTTATGAATTTAGTTACTTTACACCAGATGCCATAAAGATAGAAAGACTAAGCCTTGCACAGAGGCATGATAATAGATTTTCAAAATGCTCAACAGTGCTGCCAAAATTATAAACTGACTGCTACACAATTAAAATAAATGCTTTTATATATTTCTATTAGATGTGACTCTTTAGCGTTTCTGTTATTATTAACACTACTGCTTTAGTTGTTCTGACTGCTAAAATCCTGTTATTCCTCATTTTAAAGCCGATATTCCGTGGGGTCGGGGGCTCGGGTCCTTGTCACCTATTCCATACCTGATGAGTTTGCATCCCTGATAATACTTAGTAAGGAGGCCATAATATTTTTGACTCATGGTTGAAGTTAAGTTTCTCCAGCTCTCCCCAGGTTGGCAAAAAAATGCATCTCAAAATGCATCAGATTGATGCTTTAAAATATGGAATATTCAACATTTTCTTCCGGGGGAGCATGCCCCCGGACCCCCCTAGAACAGTGTTTCTCAAACTTTTTCATACCAAGGACCACTTAACCAATAAAAAAACACTCGCGGACCACCTAACTCCACAAATATCCCAAAACACATTGTTTTTCTAGAACAGATTATAAATCGCCTGAACATGGTACAAACAAGTGGCGACATGTGTGACGAAGGGGTTGCCCTGGGCTTTATCATGCAATAGAAAGTGAAACTTAACCTCGTTCCATTGCGGAGATATTTCCGCGAGAGTGCGGAAAACTTAAATGTATTTATTTAAAATGTGAAATGTTACCAATATACTCACGGACCACTAGGGGGCGCTCACGGACCACCAGTGGTCCGCGGACCACACTTTGAGAAGCACTGCCCTAGAGGGATAATATCCTTCTCACCTTTTTCACCCCTGACCCGTTTTCATGCCTGATTCTGTGAGAAGTCTTCTTCGCTGCTTTTGTGACAGACTACAGCACCACCTACAGGCCTGGCATATGTACTACAGCGTCTCCAGCGCTTTCGAGCGGCCGTGGCCCAACCCCCCATTCCCCTGATAGGTGGAGAGTTGCCCATATAGGCGGAGCTCCCTATTTCTGACGTCAGAAGAATTTCAAATCTGGATCAGCTCCGTTGCAGCCCCGTTTTTAGAGATTTGGGTATGGAGGAAAAGAGAGAGGGTTGTGTTTTCTGACAGTTGGTGAGTTCCCTGACACACCGGGGACACATATTCATGTATAAAAGACGTACAAAAGTGCATTTTGCATGATAGGTCCCCTTTAAGTAAATCATGTATTTGACTCATTAGTTGAATACAAAGTACATTCTATTCA